TGTAGAGAGCATGAAGAAGATCTGATCGATTATAGACCACTTGAACTGAAAAACACCTTACCATTGGTTTAAGATGTTTGGTTTGTTTCTTCTGCACCTAAGAAGTACAAGTAGACACTATGGTTTTATTGTTCATCGAAATTTGCTTGTTCTCTCTTCTGTGTAACTGCTAAGTTAATTCAAATTCCTCAAGATTATAGTTTACCCTACTCTATTTTATAATGGTTTGAGCTTGATAATTTATTCAGAAGCAACTCTGTAATCGTGTAAGCGTCAACAAACAAGTTGAGATTTCATTGTTTTGTACCAGACATTTGATTGGCTGGATATGAAAATATTGGAATCTATTGTTTCACTTCTGCCATCTGATTGGTTTTCATTGTCTGGGTGGCCCCAGTTTCAGAAAATGCACTGTAAATGTTTCCCTGTGTTATATTTTAGGAGAAGATGCAGATAGTATTCTTACAAAAGGGATACCTTTTCTATCAAAACAGTATACAAAAGGGTAAGGGGTTGAAACTCAGGGCTCAGCCTCCCTATATGGAACTTTGTAGAGTAACATGTAAAAATGCACACACAATAGTTGGACTTACAGTTGAGCTTTCCTCTGAGTCTTCAGGCTGGCAAAATGAATGAAAATAATAATTTGTTAATGCTTTAGGCTGTTAAGATATAGATTTTATAATTGATATAATTCAGAATAAAACCATATTGCCTGCATTTTGGCCATTTCGGGCATAAAATCTTTGAGGTTACCCCCCAAAAANAGCCTCCCCATATGGAACTTTGTAGAGTAACATGTAAAAATGCACACACAATAGTTGGACTTACAGTTGAGCTTTCCTCTGAGTCTTCAGGCTGGCAAAATGAATGAAAATAATTTGTTAATGCTTTAGGCTGTTAAGATATAGATTTTATAATTGATATAATCCAGAATAAAACCATATTGCTTGCATTTTGGCCATTTCAGGCATAAAATCTTTGAGATTACCCCCCAAAACATGGAGGGAAAGGGGAAATCACGAGCTACTAATTTGGCCTGGGAGCAATTTCAATTTGCTACAACCATGGTCCATAGTATAAAATGTGATCTTAAGATCAATTTATTATTCAATGAATTATCTTCAAGTCATCTTCAAGTCATCTTTAAGTCACCTGGTTTAAACCTACACACTTACCTAGTTTAAACTCTGAACCTTGGTCTTCAAGAACTGTATTATCTTTTCTTTAGTTCTAACCAACTGTACATTAAATCAAAGCAAGTTGCAGAAGTCAATTTAGTCTTCCACCTGATTTTTTAGAGCAGGGGGAATAAGTACCATTTATTGGGTGGGTCTCCAAAGATGCCTACCTGTTGTAGGGTTCATGTAGGAAGAAGAGAATTAGAGCAATTGTAAGAACTTTGATGTTTCATGTTGCTCTTTCCTGATAGTATTACAAAGTGCCAAAACATGGAAATCAGTCCAAATAGTCTATAATTACTGAGTG